CGAAATAAATTCATTTGGTTAGCGGTGAGTTAACTAGTCAAACAATTAAGCGCCCCACGAGAGTTCATCCCTGTTCGCAAAGGCAACGACGCCATGTCGACGTTCACCCCTATAGCATGGCCTCGTTGCAACCCCCGTTACGTCCCCAGTTGACCGTGAACCGCGACGAGCAAGTATATTGAGAAACGGGATATTCGTGTTATTCGTCGCAACGCTAGATCATCGTCGAGCACCAGGTCACTGTCGCTAAGCGAGTCTGTGCTATGAATGAAGACCCAACCTTTTCATTTCGAGGTAATTATAAAAAGAATCGGCCTAACTGACGTGTTTGTATCGACAGACGGAATGGTCATCGTCTATCCGTCACGTCAGCAAGATTGCGTCATTACAAATCAATTTTTTCCACTTTTCGTGTCGTAGCTTTTGAGATCGTATAGTCGCGGGTGATCGGTTCTTATCGAGATAGCGTCGTACGGAACGGAGAAATGATAACTAATGAGATCAGAGTGCGTGAAAATTTTTCCTTCCATGCAGTTTGTACAGCTAACGGTCGCTTTACACGATCGTATAAATATTCCATGAGAAACACGAGCAGAAAGACGTCACGAATATAGACTAATAGATAGTACAGTATTGAAAAAATTACGGCACTATGGACGTGCTGTTGTCGAGTACTACTTAGTAAACTTTAGTAAACCTCCGAATAAACGAACGACAATAATTTACGACGACGTTGTTCATTCGAACGCAAGGAGAAAGAATGAATAAGTGAAGGAATAAGTGTGTATTTTGCGTTTCGCAGGTCTTGGTAGTGTTACTCTTATCCGTAATCCCCTGGCCAGGACCCAGCGTGTTTAAAATATCATGCCCCCGCGATCGGGCGTCCGTGGTGAGGAGGATAGTTCAGAAGGTAAAGAAAATTTGCAAAATGTCCATTTGTAGTAACTTTGTCGCCGTGGAAAATCTTTCAACTTTCTCGAGGTTTCAGAGATGGATGCCAATTCTGAAGAGACATCAAGTAGAGCTGCCTCTGGAGTGCCCGTTCCACGAAAGTCGAGATATTTTTCGACCACAGCAAAAGGCGAAACACCAACACAGACCGTCACAATGGACCTGCGGTCTGTGTGGCAAATCCTTCTACGCAGAGAAACACTTGGATGCCCACTTCGATAACAGACACAAAAGCAATGTTAACACGGTACGTTTTCCATCTTTCGATTCGCTCGAGTAAATATAATTTGTTCGAGATATAGAGTGTAGAATTGGAGATGTCACGAGTCGTTTAGAAAGCCTCGTTTCTTTCAAAATTGCCATTCCGTTAGAATAATTGCCATAATTGTAATTATAAATATATACTCTTATAACGGGATAATAAAGGAGGGATATGCTTCTAGAGAAAAACATCGTGTAAACTTCATCGATTTTATGAGACACCTCCCATTTTCCACCTGGCACAGAAAATCTATCGACACTCCTTCGCAACGCACACAAATAACTTCAAATACGGTAAGACCAGTTGCCAAGTGTGTCAATTATAAATGAAACTGTTGGAGGCTAGGCGGAAGACGCGGTGTGCCTCGCGGATTACTGCGACATCATGAGATGCGACGTGCTTGGAAACCGTGATTTCGAAAATTCCCTGGTGGACGACGAGACTGGCCACCACAGCACGGATATACAAGTCTGGAAAGAGAACACGGAGCAACGTCACACATCTGTGATGCCTTGTGAGTCGCGAGGCAGTTTCTCGGGGACGTATCCGGTGGAGAAAGCCTGCACTATTCCTGGTGGTGGAGCTGTCACCAACATTCAGCAATATTGTCATCGAGAGGACAGCGGGGCTTTAGAGAATCATCGTTTGCCAGGAACTGCATACCACGTCGAAATCGCTGGTCCGGATAACAGGAGTAACGCCTGCGACAACGGCGAAGAGGACGAAGACGAAGAAGACGAGGACGATGAAGAGAATCTCGTGGAAGCGGCGTTGCCAGCCGTCGACAAGAAAAGACGTAAGGGGTTGCACCTGAGGAAGTTGAAGGCCAACTGCAAGCCGGAGGAGCTGCAGAAGCTGAAGTTGCAATGCGAAGTTAGTTGACTTCGTGGGAAGATTGTAGAAAATTTTTTAAATGAAGGGTCTGATTTATCTCTTGGAAATCATCTCGATGAAACCTCGATAAGATCTAGGAATAGTCGAACGATACGAATAAGTGGACGACTTCCTTGGTTCTATAAGACAATATCTGCTCGTGAGAGAAATAGTATATCTTTCATTGCCATATGAATTCACGAACGGCCGATTTCTCTGTCCTCTATGCAACTCGAAGATTACAGATCGGTGTTTGAGTATGTAAGATTATCGTTCTAGTGACTGTTGTATTGTCCTTGGAAGCTTTAGGCATTACAAAACGCTTTGGCATTACTTAAGTATTGTTTCGAATAATCTCGTAAATATAGATACCTTTCTTCCTTGTAGCGCATTTGAGAGAGGATTAATCACTTCCTGGCCTCATTTGTCGTTCCATTTGTCTTAAAATGACTAATCACTATTTTACTTGAGTCACGTAAACTTTCCAAATCCGAAGAAGTATCACGAGTATCATGAGTATTAACGCAATCTTCCGTATAATACGTAGACTAAAAGCACGGTTAATGAGGAAATAAAAAGTGTAGTAACGAATTATGGCATAGGATGAAATAACAAGCACGTATCATAAATATCGTATTCTTTTATGTCACGAATATTATTATTATTTGAATGATGTTAACAGGTACTGATCCGCGATTGCATCGCTGGACTCTTGACGAATCTTTCGGTACGAGATTTCCAGGAAATGGAAGGTATGCCGTTCGATCAATTTGTTAGACGTCTTATCGACAAATTGGATTTCCAATTTTTATCATTCTCCTTCTTTCTAGGTGAGTTGAATCGCGCGATATGCTGGTACCTTAGCTGCGACAGGTATTGGGAAGACACGAAAAAACAACAGAGGCACACACCTTGGTACCTGTTAAGCATTTTTCTGCTCGTTCTGTCTTTGTCCATTTACGCGTGCTACTACATTATTTGGGTGCTGTTCAAGTACGTACGTTGAAACATATTTACACATAACAATATCGCCCCGCGATTTATCACCGTTCGCGTGTGTATAAAAACAGCGATAAGAGAATTTATCAGCACGACGACTGTCGTCACATATGCAGCTAGGCAGATCTAATTAAAGATTCAACACGATACAAATATGTCAAATGTTTACAACAATGATAAGTCACATACTCTTTTCGTAACTTTGTTTGAAATCGTTCCAAAATTCGATATTAAAAATTACACATATGTATATCTACGTAGAATTAAACTTAAGATATTAACGAACGGCTTGGATAAAAGTGCAAATATAAATCTTTCTTTTTATGCACGTAAATGTTTAGACGTTCGAAGATTTACATTGTGTTTACACCGAAGAACCTGATAGTATAGAAAAAATAACATCCGAAATCATTTTTACAATTCAAACACACGAAGGCGTCATTAATCCCATAAATTCTACTTAAGATACCAGATATCAATATTCCCACTCGAAACGTATTATATATTTTTAACCAAAGATATCATTCATCTTATCGAAATGTAGTACATACATTTTATTTATCCTCGTCAATTACCATGATTCATCACCAAAACACCAATCTTTCAGTTCAGCAGAAGAAGACAGGTTGGATGGAACGGGAAGCTTAGATGGAGATCTAACGGCTACGTCCTCGTTACACGATCAGAGTGGTCCTGGCGACAGTAGAACCAGTGGCAGAAGAAAAGGTGAGCCAGGGGACGATAACCTGCCTTCGAACGAAGAAATGCCCGATCATTATATATACGTAACCTATCCACCCGAGCTAAAGCAGCGATTACTGGACAGGTAAATAAGATGAGAAAATATGAAACAAGTATGGGACATTGGTATCGAAATCGTACAGTGATCTTCCTGGTTGCAGCTGCTACAATAGAACCACTCGACTATAAAGTCAAAGAGGTAGGAGAAGGGTGGACAAAGATTCGTTCGGAAGTACGAGAACAGCTCGCTCGGTATCACGAGTCGGTCCCACGGCAAAACACCTTCTTCCTTATTTTTTCCCCCCTCTCTTAATCTTCGTGTTTTGTATACCAACCGTGAGAATAAATTGCAAGACGTACACGAGAAAAGAATTTGTTGTCAATACCTCTGTTCGCGTTATTTATATTTCGTTTTACTAAACTATCAACGTATGCCAAAGCTTTATACTTAAGATAATATTTTATCGAATCGTAATTTATATAATTTGTTTCTTCAAGTGCATTACACAAAGAGAACATACTTCTCTGTTTAAAAAATTCGTTGAATGATATTTTTATTGTTATCTCAGCAACGCTGCGGCGATCTGGTCGGCCGAGGAATGCAGTTTATAGTTTTATCTATAAACAGTTTCGCGAGCCTACGATAACCAGTTCGCTTATAGCAAACTATGCTCATGTTTCCTTCGACCATCACACGTCTAGAAAATGTCAGGCGATCTTTTTAAAGAACGATGCATTAATGCCAATTTCTTGTAAATCTCAACAAAAAAGGAACTGAAATAGTTGGTATGTTAAAAAAAAAAAACATATAGAGAGGGAGTGAGAAGCACATGAAGATAGCAACCATTTACAAATGGTCGAAGAAATTTCATGACGAAAGAGAAGAGATGGAAGATGATGCTCGATCTTCTACTGAGTAGTTCTAAAGAAGAACTTTTAACGTGTTTATAAAGTTGTGTTATCACTGATCGGATAATCGCTAAAGAGCTTAGTATCAGTCGAGGAAATGTGCATTCAATTTTAAAAGACGATTTAGAAATACGAAAACCTGACGCTAGAATTGTCTCACGATTTACTGACGTAATTCTGTGAATTTTTTTAACAGACTAGTATAAAAACATACGTTCACGACAAGGACAATACATAAAAAAATGATGTAGGCAATAATACCTCCTTGGGTCAGTAGTTTCGGTTTTATTTTGAAACTAAGAGCTCGATTCGAAACTAAAACCAGTAAGTCATCTTAATGGATCCATCGGAGTCCCGTTGCGTGTCCATCACGCTGGATTGTCGAACCAGCCGACGTACGCTCGCACTGCTGGGCCTTTGTTGATCCTCTAACAGTCTCTGAGGAATCGATGCCTCAGGTACTTCGTGCATCTCCACTGTCTCTCTGAGCGATAAATCTTCGTAAGAAGCAGCAGCCGATGAAGGTCTAAGATCAGCCAAAGCAACGACGCATTATTTACAACATTTACATAAGAAGGAGTATTTATGTATTTAATCGACAGTTTTTGCCAATAATATGATTCGTACTTGGTCGGGACGCAACGAAAACAGTCGGCACAAGTCCAATCCTTCCCAAACAGTTCCCCTTCCTCCACAGTCTGTGGTAATCGATGATGCAGCGTCTCCGGCAAACGCAAGCCAGACAGTCCGCCGATTACAGATACGACGCCAAGAATCACGAGGGGTAGTACTAAGTTCTCTTTGCCCTAATGACGTAAATTCCTGGAAGATTTAACTGAACGCGGAGACACGATAGGCGTATTTACGATTACTTACAAGATAAGTAACAAAAGGAATGATTATAAGGCCGAGACCACTGATGTAGGCGGAGAAACCGATCGCTACGCCGCGTAGTTGTGTAGGGTAAAGTTCACCGGCGAACGGATATATAATTAAAAAAGAGGCTGATATTGCGGATTTTGATAAGAGGAATAGTATTAGCGTCGTCACAACAGCATCTATAAAAAGACAAAGATGGAATAGTTAAAATGAAAAATTTCGAAACTACTTTCAGTATTTCTCTTTTTATTGTATGATTTATACGAAGAATCTGTTCTCCTGTTTTTCTCTTTTATTAGCATAATGTAGTACCAGATGACAAAAGAACCGTGGCAATGCACGATACACCAGCGAGTACCATGGACAAGCAAAGAGGCCATCGACGACCCCATCGATCCATTACCACCCAGCAGGCCATGTAGCTTGGAATCTCAGCCAGAGACGAGAAGAAAAAGCTCAAGTGTTCCTCGTTACCCAGCGCTGGCCCGTAATACGATAATCCGACGTATACCATATTATTGGCAAACCTAGAAAAAGAGGAATCAATCCAGCGATAGACTGATATATTTCGTCATGTCTTGTTTACGTAAAGAAATACAATCACGTATATACGGTAAACAATGATTAATAATACGAAAACATTGTAAGATTCTGTAGAAGTGTCGGAAGCTAAATTTTACTGCAAACACACGCGTGTTATATCTTATGATATTTGGTGACTCATGAGGTGTTTATACTTCGATTTACCAATTTAGAGTGATAAGACACGTCTTCAATCGCATATTTGGTGTTTTGAAGAGAGACAATACACCGGGCCCTTTACGTAATCTCTCCTCTTCACTCTTGGACCGTGACATCATCATTCGCTGACGTAGCTTTTGCGAGAAAGAAGCAGGTAACTCTTTCCCATTTACTTTGGCTAATCGTTCCAAGACTTCGTTAGCTTCAACTAATCGACTTTTCGCCAATAACCATCTCGGTGATTCTGGCAGCAACCTTGAATAATCTTAGACGTTTTATTATGACGTCGCGTGAACGGAATACGGAAGAAGGTTAAAAGGCAGAGAGACAATTACTCACCACCAGTATAAGAAATACAAAAGAAAGGGTGCGCTCGTGGTTATGGCAAGCGTTCTCCAATCTCTTATCAAATAGGTCACACCAGCCAACATACACAATCCCATTGTATAGAAGCTGCACGTCATCACTGTCACGAATGATCGATAATTTGGTCCAACCAGTTCCAAAGCTGTTTGTAGAAAACCCAGAAAACATTAATACTCGTTCTTTCTACGAAAAATATTTCTCATACTTCTTATTCCCTGTATTTGTTCATGTTATTTACTCATTTATTTATTATTTCTTTCTCTTCGTGGAATCTTACATATGATAAAAGGTATCTGATAAATAGCAGGAATGGTTAAACCAACGACCACCCTGGTGGCAGCCCAGGTCCAAAAGCTGTTCGACATCGACGTTAAAAATCCACCGGTTATTAAAGTCGCCAGACACGTGAAGAAAGACAATCTTCTACCAATTCTATGTGATACAACAAAGGCAATGAAACAACCTGTATCTAAATTTCAAAACTAAGTAACAATGTTTGTCACCTATCGTTTAGCGTGCCGAAAAGGTACACTCCAATTGGTCCTCCCGTGTTTAGAGCGACCAATCCAATTGTCGGATAAATCGCATGATCGCACACGAGATCGAACTGAAACGTTTCAACAGGAATTAACGAAAAAATAAAATGATCATCTTGATCGAAAAACAGGATAAAATGTAAACGTACATCGATAACGATGGAAGATTTCACTTCTGAAGTTTCATACTCCCAACCATGATCGCATGGAACAATGGGCCACGATGCATTTGGCACGTACGAAGCCGCTGTCACGACAGAAATATTTTCCGCTGTCCAATCGATATCGTATCGTGTGCATTGACTGTACGTTTCATTGTCCTCCTAATTATGAAGGCAATTGTTACAATACTACGAGCAAATAACGTGCACTATTGTGGAAAACGTACATATGTACTCTATTATGGATAAACGATGTCTTTTCTGCAGTATCAAAGCGGGAAATCATCTTGGAAATACGAGAAAGATGCTAGCGTTTATCTAATTTCCTCGACAAACAGCGTAGGTTGATAGAATAAGCAACGCTAACTCTAAATCTTATTTTCTAACCTACTTACAGCGATTAAAATTTATTGTTATTGGCAATTAACTCTGCCATTCCTATGATAATTGTACGACTACGTATTTAGAATATAAAGCGCAACAGAATATCACTACGAATTATTTTCGCCAAAAGCTGATGACAGAATTACAGATGTTTCTAAATATCAAAATGATTGTACGAATGTTTCTCGTGTAGCTATCGAATAACTTAAAAATGAAAAGCTTGCAACGAGGAGCTGGTATATTTGATTGACTAGCTTTTAAATAAATACCCTAACTGTCTAAATTCTTCCTAATAAAACACATGAACGAGGAGATAAAAGTATTAACGCCTAGACCGACAATTGCACCTGACTAATTGGAATCGCGAGTCTCTTTCTCCGGGAGACATCCAGAGTCTCCAACCCCGGTACTTTGCACCAGTGGGGTGGCGTGTCGGACATGAAGAGTTGATTGAAGGCGCAAAAGCCACACGGAAGACACGCCGGAAGACACACGAGCCAGAGAAGTTGCTTCTGATAACGACCGAATTCGCCAACGATCGGTAGAAGATCGTCGAGATCAAAGCCATCCTATAAAACTCTTATCTCTTGATCTTGATCACATTCTTTTTCAGTAATCAATCATATTAAGATTTTTATATCATGACAACAATCAAAAAACGTTTAAAGGAATAAAGATAATGAAGGAAATCCTATCGATTAGATAAAAGTATAGAAGCGTGTTGACAGAAATTATTACTACAAAGTAATTACTACAAAATAATAATTCCTATCAATAAATATCAATTTGCAGGTGTAATTTAACATAAGAAACTTACTTCATCGTTCGCGTTTCCAGTCGTCTTGGTGTTCGCTGATTCGGACGTTTGATTTTCATCCAAGTCTTCCATTCTCGTGAACTTTGCCCACGTTCAAGCTACCGAAATGTCGCCGATACCTTAGAAACGCGTTACGTCACGTGTATTAGCTCCTTTACGATGGCAGTGCGACCGACGTGCCATTCGTTCCATCCTGCTGCGTCTTTTTCTTTCTCACCCTCGCACGATCGTATTACGAGGGTGTCCCTCCGAAGTCGCCACGAAGAGGAGACAAAAGTATTTAGATAGCGTGTGCCAGCTCTTGTAGTGGATTTAGTGAGTTCTAGTTGGACACGAACCCAAAAGGAATTGGATGAATTAGAAAATTAAATCGCTCACTGTTGATCAATCCACTGCTCGCTCAACATTTTTCAAAAATTCGTGCCTTCTCGACAACTGTTACTCTTCTCTCTTAAGGAAACTCACTTGTCAAACGTGTAATCGTATCAAAAGAAAAGAACAAAACGAAAATGAATGAAATTAAATTGAAGAGGTATGCAGAGTGTGCGTGTGTATGTGTATGTGTGTGTGTGTAAGAGAGAAAAAGAACGTGTAATAATTAGTGTGTATGCAGAAAATTAATCCAAATCAATGAATGGTATGTGCTTGTACGTCGTATCTCGTTTCGTCGACAAAGAAAAATTATGGTCGATGAAATTATTCCGGAATTTTTATGGCGAATACACCGATATTGTTCATCTCCCGAATATAGTACATTAAGCACGAGCCACCGGCTTCTCTTTCTTCGTTTGAAAGTGAATTAAAAAAAAGAAAGGTAGAGAAGAGGATAGAGCTCGCGTACGTACTCGCGTTTCACGCACGCGAAAGAGAATCGAGGAAATGCAGACGACACGACTTCAGAGGCGCGTGCCACGAGGTGTGCCCTTCTAATTCAATTGGGTTAAGGGTACTTAAAGGAGATTAAGAACAATGCTGACACATGCTGCGTGGTGGCCGCATTTCATTCTTCGAACACGCCGCGCGACTTTTGATGTTATTTTGTAATTTTCGATTCGTTATTCTTCGTGGCGGGTCTACAATTAATTTCTAATTTCTCATGCTGATCAAATGTTGCGATTTTTCACATATCGCTTACTTTCCGCATAAGTATAATATACAAATATATATATACTTTTCGTATAAATCTCTTCTTATTTGTATCATTCGTCTATCCCACGTTTCGTCAAACGAATTAATTTGTTGGAAATGTTAATAGTTTGGCGTCGTTAAACTACGTTTTCGGTACTTTTCTACAATAACGAATATCTCCGGTAATGCTTGAAAATCGCGAGATATACGGCTTCGTTCAAATCCAAGGTAATCCGATTGATAAAATAAAAGACCGTTGTCACAGACACAGGCAATTGTTCACGTTTTCCATCCGCGTGTTTGCATACGAACCTCGATCGGACGATAAATTTTTCGCATTTTCGTTATGAGATTACTCTGAACGACGATGTCGAAAGCGATAGATGAAGATGGGTGGTTATTGGAAAAAAAGAAGTGAGAAAGAGAAAGCTCGATGCCGAAACGACGACTGGTAATAATAGCATTGTTGCGTGTATTCAGATTTAAAATGAATTTTTATTCTGGACAATCTCGTTTTGTCGAAGATAAAAAAAGAAAAGAAAAAAAAGGAGAAGAAATTCCAAATTTGAAAACACATGTGGAAGCAATTCGCATTTCGATGGTCAAATCTTACGGGATGAAACGACCTCGCATTCTTCTCGGAATAAGATTCCATAATTTCTTTTTTCACATACAGAACGCAACTGTGTTTTCTTTCTCTCGTAGTTTTCCTTTTCCCTCGTTCTTTCACTCTTTTTTCGTTTCCCTCGATCCTTTTTTCTTTTTTTTTTCTTTTTTTGTCAAGACGATGAAAATCGTGATGTTAGTAGTCGAAATGATTTCTCTCGTTTAATTAATCGTATGGCACTGTCGCTTGGCGATTCGTATAATCGTTTCTCGTACACACACTGACAGAGTACGATCAGTCACGTTAAAGATTCAACAAAAAAAGCTGACATCCGTGAACAGACGACATGGAATCTACGTTTTAAAGATAATACCAAACGAGTTAATACGAAAAAAAAAAAATGCAAAATATGCGATTTCTTTCTCATAACACGACCTTTGTATTTTGTTTTTCGAAATCAGTATTTTGTTTGTTTATTGTTGCATTAATGTAACCGATCGTACGGTGAACACACTTTCCAAAAGAATCGTCCCCAATCATTCCACGATCGCTCTGGCACTCAGATAAGCGATGCAGCCGATGTGTCACATATAATCGTTGTCATTTGGATACCTTCACAGAACACAGGCTCGGCAAACCACACGACTGACACAGACCGAAAAGAAATGAAAGATACGTAAATATCTTGCGCTACGTAGACATGCCGCACCCTCTCCCATTCTAGAATCATTCATGTAGCAAATTATTATTGGAAAATCAGAGGGAACAAGGGAAAACAATGTCCTCCTAAGTATGTGATATAAGATTCATCTTTTGTAGCAAAATAAAGTTTCCTCGTTGTTGTAATCTCGATTTGCTTAAAGCATTATTTTGCCTGGTAATAGTATGATAACCGAGTACGTAATAACAACTTGTGACTTTAACGAAGATTTCGCTCCTTTACAAGGAAAAGTATTATTTTTTATCTAATGCAGATAAGAGATTAATCTTTGTCCAGAGAGTCAAGAATCAAGTTTTATCAGCGATTATTCGTAGCGTCTAATTTGGAATACAAGAAATGGATCGTTAAATTATGGAATAGGCCAAAGGAATTTATCGATTCCTCGATTTTTTACGGCATATCTTCTTTCTCTTTTTTGTTCTTTTATTTTATTTTATTGGTGACAAGGTCGACGTAAAAGCTGAACTCTAGGAAACAAATTGGAGAGGGTGAGCAAATTACAGAGTGGCAGGCTAAATAGGATTTCATCCAACTCGTGTTCTCGTTTATTCGTTTTTTCTTTCTTTCTTGCTTTTACTTCAAACCCACGTTTATCGCCCGAATTGTTCACATGCGTAAATTATAATGTTTGGTCCGATCGTCGATCGGCAGCACTCGACAGCACTCTCTCTCTCTCTTTCCGCATATCGTCACAAAAAGATCAATCTCACACGCTCATTTTGCTTCTCTCCTCTTCTTTTTTCTCGTTATTAATTTTTTTTTATTTTTTTTATTAATTTTTTTTTGTTTGCTTCTCTTTTAATTCTTTAGTTTTTTAATCACACAATGTGCATGGTAATGGCATTTTAGCTTTATCTCGACGCAACCCATCAAAAATCGGGAAAAACAAAAATATCTGAAGATACTGATCAACCGTGACACACACACGAAGCAATATAGGCATCACACGATCGATGGATCTTCACTTCTGCCATTACCGTGCAATTTCTCTGACAGTTTGGAACAATAACAGCTCTACACGCGTTGGCTTCGTGTTTCGCGATTCGATCGTTTAAAAAATATTATCGAAAATATTGTCTCGTACGTACAACGGCACCGCGGTTCGAATATCTTAAGAACGGAGACTCTGTTCTGGACCCAGTGTCGCTGAAATCCTCTCGAAAAATAATTCATCTGCGTGATCTGCGTGGATTCATTTTTATCTTATTCACATTGTCGTTGTCATCGTCGTCGTCATCGTCGTCATCGCCGTCATCGTCGCCATCGTCGTCTATATAACAGCTTATTTATTTAGTCGTGCGATCTCGTTTTCTAAGTTGGACAAAAATTTCAGCGAAGCACCAGGACATGGATTCGGTGACAGTTCTCCGATCTTTTTAACCGCGTCACGATACAAAATTTATATAACTTTTTTTTTCTTATTTCCATCCTTCGTTTCTTCTTTATCTTTTTATTCTTTTTTTTTTTTACAAATCGACGATTCGTCCTTTCCCGAACGTGACGCCGCGATTCACGTCGAATCACGAGCCAACTCTTCTCATCATCCCTCCACCACAGTTATCAAATACTCTCTCCTCTTGTGTTTCTCTCTCGCTCACAATCTTTCTCGCTCTCACAGCTCATTCGTTCCTCTCGTCGTTTTTTCTTCACTCGCAGATAACACCCTAACAGGACACATCCCACCAGTAAATTGTGATTTATCTCACAGCGCACATCATCACTGATACAGCGTAATGCACACGCTTTTCAAAATTTTTTTTTTTATTCTTTTTAATAATCCTTATAATTAAATACGCTCTCACGTACGTTCCCTAGTGAAGCATCGCACGCACTCTAGGCGTCTCGACGATGAAAAGGCTAACAACTAATAGTTCGATAAGATATTATCGTGTATGAGTTAGTTTCTAGGAGCGAGGCTCTGATCGTGACTCGTTCCCTCGATCACATATAAACGCAAAAAGGAAAACTCTGTCTTTCAAAAACGACCTCAATCGGCGTATATATGTCTTTCTTACATTCATTAAATATAAGTGTTTGTGTGCGCGTTAGGCTAGCTCGAAATACAGAGCAGCGAATATTCCCTTATTAAAACGAATAGACAAGATAATAATTACACAGAAGAATGGCGAGCAAATCTGCTATGTTTGAGATCGTAGAATGGAGAACATGGATCAGCCAGAGCCACGCTTCCTTTAAGGTAGAACATCGACCCCTCGCACACGAGAGTCTCTCCAAAAAATCACAGTCGCATATATAATATAATTTGCATCTTTCGTATTTCTTATTTTCACAACTCGTTACTCGTTACTTCCATCACGGCACGGCCGGCATTTCGTTTCCTAGTTTCCTACCTCTGCTCTTCCACGACCGATCCCTATCTACACGGGTGTTTCCCTCCGTATTTCATTCCTTCCATTTCTGTTAGTCTGTATGCCCTTCTCGGCGGACCTGATAACGTGATTCGCAACGATCACCTCGAAGATACCGGAAACGAACGATATACCCCGTCTTCTAGTAACGTCTTGAAGTAGACGCTTGTTATACGATCATGAAAGAATGCTCTTGGTCACGATTGATCGTAAACTACGCGTGATGAAAAGAATAGTCGCGTGTTCGTTCCATTAATGTACAGACTGTTTCTAAAATAGGTAGTTCAATGGCTATTTTTACATACATTTTACTCGTCGTGAGAATAAAAAGATGTGTCGAATAAGTAACACAGGAATAATTTCTTATCGATCCTAATCGTCGTGCTAGCGTCATCCTAACGACCAGTAGAAGGCTTTTACGAATTCGACCACCCATTTTAAAGACAGCCAGTAGAATGGCGAATGCGACGAAGCGCAACTCTCGATTGTTTGCGAATCAGAAGAACAGGCGAGCGATCGAGTTCTTTATCAAGACGCGGAAAGTCGCGCACCAACGTCCTCTCCGTCGTGGTTCCTCTATCTCTCTCTCTTTCTCGCATTCCCCCTTTCACATCCACATCCTTTCTTTCTCTCTCGTCCTTCCACTCTCCTCTCGCTCTCTTTCTTACGTCCTCTCTTTCCCTCTACTCTCTCTGCTACGTGGAATGTAAAAGAAAAACAGGATACACTTTGCGCCTCGATATTTTGCATGTTCCTTCTTTGGACATTCGGAATAAACCGTTTCACTGTTTCGGTTTCTCGCTTTTCCCCCCTTTTTTCTTAAATACTTTTTGCAGTTTTTTCTTCCTTGGATTCATCGAGACATCGACTTTGGTAGATCGATGACGGCACTCGTCATCGTGAGAACTGTAAAGCAAAGCTGTAGTTTTTTTCTTTTTCGTAGAAGGAGAAATTTTCGCGATTGGAAGACACCGTGTTTCGTCTGCGAGAATTTCGTTCTGCTTCGAAATCGAAAGGATCCACCGCGAGATAAAACAATGTACGGAGAATTTGCATTCGTGTATAACTGTATGTGTTTGGTGTGTACATGAATGTGTGTATCGCAAAGAGATCAAGGTTTAGGCTCCAGTCTACGTAACGAGCGGCTCGCCGAAACGATTTTTCCCTACTCCTATTTTTATTTGTTTGTTGTTTTGTCAGGTTTCTTCTCATTTTTAAAAGCTAAATAGACGTTTCTCTTTCTTATACGCTAAGTTTGGCAATATCGTTCGCAACAGTAAAAAAATTATATATGTATATATATTTATTTTTATATCCAGACATGGAGCAGACACATTGGTTTCCCTCGATATGTAAAATCGTAAAAAAGATAATCAATTTAATAAAAAGTCTTAGTTTATAATCGTTTCTCGTCAATTCCCTATTTGTCCCTTCGCGTTTCTTCTTACGCCAATATTGTTTCCCTTTTCAACTATTTATTCTTCACTTTATTTTTTAAATTGTTTTGTTTAGTTTTCGTTTATGTGTTTGTTCCGTCGAAACACGTTTACCCCAACCCAGGCGGTTCTTTCATGAAGATACTACCCCTCAGCCTAGATTTCCATTCGAATCTCGCTGCGATCATCGTCAATAATATTCTCTGTTCGATATCGTGTCTGTACGTAAAGCTTTGCATAAACAAGGCGTTCACGGGAAAAATATGTTAAGAATGAAATCACTATAAAATATACCCCGAACATCACGAAAGAACGGTCACACAGTGCGCTTCCGCTGGCAAAAGTATTTGGAATGCATGGCACTAGCACAGCCACGTTTCGACCACGTGACGTAACTTCGTATTATATTATTAGAGCGCCCGATTGCCCGCTTAATCTTTCGTGTAAAATCTTACTAAATATCGCGTTCGTGCATAAAACCATCTACAAGGGAAAGCTATGGAAATTTGCGAGGTTGACTGGCAAGGAAGTGTGCGAGAAAATGAAAAATGTTCGCGTCGTTAAATGATCCTGAAACGTTTCTGATCCATTCGATATCTTAGTCGTTTCAGTCGATTCGAAATGTTCATGTAATATATGTGTATATGTAAGAAAAGGAAAAAAGTATTCTGCGTAATCCTTGCGCGACCAGGAATTTGAAATATCTTCGGTTCAATGTCCGACTTCTTGAACGAATTTATCTATCTATTCCCGTATAACTCGCTTGATCTTATATTGAAACAACTTACGGGAGCAACCGGACGATATGACGTCGGGTTATATCAATCACCTATCTTTGAAATTCCATCGTTTCTAACTTTTACGCGATCACCGTATTCGTTTTTTCGATGGACACCGGAATAACGTGCGAATAAAGATGAGCAACATCCTCGATACGGTTTTCTTTTTTCATTTGATCATCGATAAACGCCTTCCTACAACAATGCGAGGCCAGAAAGACGAATCTCTTTGACAAATATTCACGCGAAACAAGATCTCGATATCCTTGAGCCCTTTGAATTGAATTGAAGAAAGAAACGAACGGTGTAAAACACGTGCCTGAACATCACGTACATAGTATTGTTTCATTGTTAGTGGCAGTGCAAAAAGCTCTCGTCCGATATTCCGTTGGAGAATTATAAAAATACGAATTAATGATATAACGTGATCGCATAAAATTAATTTCGATTACGCGCAGGATTACTTTTGTGTATGGGTGGGTATAATTGTATTATGTATTTTGAGGCTGAATACTCAATCATAATTAGTTTTCTTTCCTCTTTGCAATTCTTATTTACTCGAACGTTCAGGCCGGACGAGGACTTCGGTACAACTCAATAACTTATGCCAGCAAAATATTAATTTTAATGAATCAACAGCAACAGACATTCACATACGGGCAAAGTAACATACGCGGCATCATCATCATCATCATCATCATCATTATCATCATCATCATCATCATCATCATCATCATTATCATTATCATACTATAACTAATCATTTAGATTCTCGCGCAGCACGATCGGACCAGAGGTCAGCAATATTTTGAACCTTCCGACCATATTTTTTTGAGAATCATTCAGAACATTTGTGATGCTATTCACACGCATTCACTCTTACCTTCCTTTTTTCTTTCCCTTTCTCTCTTCCTCTCTTGGGTAAAGTTCTTACCTCCACTTGTTCACCACTTGGCTGCATTAAAATAGCAACCAGCATTCTGACGGCCACTTATTTCGCTCATAAACTTCAAATCACGCCAACAACAGTCATTCGGTGATGCTTCGATTGCTTCGAACGAGTGATGGTGTGACAGTTTAGTAAGGAATCGGAAACAGACCGCGGGCTTCGTTGGCAAAGCTACAGGAGGACAAAAAAGCTAGGAGCTTTACAACGAGTTGCGCATTAATAATTGAACTTTCTCGACGAGACGACGTGTGTAATATAATCGCTCATTCAAAGGTGACATGTTTTATTTTATACACACAGACTCCATGTGATCTTACATGCATACATATTAATAGAACCATCCTTACGTTCAATTACTAGAGCACATTCTTTCTTTAGCAGCTCTACAGTCTCGCTCTCTCTCATTTGGTTTCTCTGCGTTTTCTTCCTCGTTCACACCATTCGTTCTTCCACACTCTCTCTCTCTCTCTCTCTCTCTCTCTCTCTCTCTCTCTCTCTCTCTCTCTCTCTCTCTCTCTCTCTCTCTCTCTCTCTCTCTCTCTCTCTCTCTCTCTCTCTCTCTCTCTCTCTCTCTCTCTCTCTCTCTCTCTCTCTCTCTCTCTCTCTCTCTCTCTCTCTCTCTCTCTCTCTCTCTCTCTCTCTCTCTCTCTCTCTCTCTCTCTCTCTCTCTCTCTCTCTCTCTCTCTCTCTCATTGGCCTCGATCATCGTCCATTGAAGTCGTCTTTTCCTCAGGTTCAACTTCTCAATCACGCGGGTAGAAGCCCCAGGCTCGTTACCAGGCATACTTGCATCACCGGAACATCTCGGCAGACTTCGGCCTTGGCCCATTCATCGGCAACATCCACTTGCACTCCTCATCATCCGTTGTCGGCAGACATGTATTTATTTTTTCGACCATTTGGGGTTGCGCTCAACGTGTCGGTACTCAAATACCGTCGCCAGAGCAGGGACACGTGCAGACTCATCACCCCATCATCGTCATCGCTTCGAAACTCACGCACATCCATCAACTCGCATCCGCACCATCCAATCTTGTTGTCTTTGTATTGTGTTCGATAGCTCTCTAGTCAAATCAAATTGCACGACAGTACAACCGTGGGGTGATCTGTAAACAACAAAAGCGAGCCAAATATCAATAACTGTCGCTCACTGCTCGGTGTGTGTATGCATATTTTTTTAACGTATTACAATTTTTTTTCTCTTTTATTTAATTTTGTATTGTTATTTTTTGACCTAAATTTTTTATTTTTAGATGGGGTCTCTGTGTCGAGTGCACGTGTCTGTACACGGGGCGGGGCTATGAGACAAAGGGTTCGTAAACAATGACGACAAAACGAAACTGTATTGTACAGAATAGTTTTGAGATGTGAGACAACTTAGGGCTCGTTTTTTAAACAAAGATAAGACAGTTATGATTAAGGGCATACAAGCAAAATTTTGTTCGTTTAAACAGAAAGAACTACAACTCGATCCAATTTCTAGAATCAGTATGTAGTGTCCCTAATTTTCCATCACCATGCAGCTGTATTGCATCTTTGCTTCTTTGATACTTTGTACACTCGCGTTTCTTGTTTTCTTTTTTCTTTTTTTTTCTTTCATATCTCCTAAGTGTATAGCATTATAAATCGTTCGTCGAGAAAATAATCTTAGTAAGTTACACAGAAAGGTAGCAGCGTAGAATGAAGGGGGATGTAGTAAAGAATGAAATGGGAAAACGGTAAGTTGATATGGATAACAGGTGATTGAATATACACGCACCACACATAGTCCACACGGAAATTATTAATAATAAAAGAAACGAATAAAAAAAATATAAGGAAACGATTAATAAAGCAATGAAAAATTACTCACCAACTGGACGTAGAGTTAGCAACATTCTTGAGCTTCCGAATCTCTTTAGCAGCCCAGTTAGCCAAAGTTTTAGTCTTCTCAGTACGTGATCGTCTAGCCTTGGTTAAGAACTCCGTAAGTGGTTCAGTTTCTACCATCGGCAAGAGTTTTACTCCAAACACGGTGACAAGGTCACCAAGCAAGCCTACAGAAGCTGCAATATTGCCTTCAGAATGCTCACGGTCCTGTGCTATCGACGTGATGAATTGGATAATGAAGGGCACGTGCGGCTCTACCAGAGCAATTGCCGCATCTGGGCAAGGATTCGATACATCACCGCGCAGTCCTTGCACTATACCAGTATAAGCTTCAAGGACGCCCTCTCGTAATTCGTTCAGATAATCGATCATATCGTAATCGCTTCTATCTACATTTGCTTGAGAAGCCTGAGCCAATGTTTGAAGTACCACATCCAAATATTTCTTGAATTCAGGACCAATACTGAGAGCAACATCACCGAAAACGGAGAAGATTTGTGGCTTCACGGAACGATTGACCGAATTATTGCCAAGATTTTCCAGCAAGAGGGTCATGATCTCATCGCAATAGGGTAACATTTTGTTTTTTAGGGCCCGACAAATGTCTCCGGTCAGACCAACAGCGGCACAACAAACTTGATATTCTGCATGATTCTTTAAGCCAAGACAAAGATATGGTTTGAATGCATCCATGTACTTCAAGAAACCTTCTCCAAGGACTTCGACTAGAGTCGAAACAGCCATAAGAGCATCCTCTTGTACACCCTCGGCTTTGCAAGAATTCGAGTTGAACATAGACAACAATGCTGTCATTATTACATCAGAGATGTGCGGAGCATCCTCCGGTGTAACTTTACGTAGCACAGATTGCAAAGTTGCGCATAACAACGATTGCAAATCATTATATTGAGCACGATCCGAATGGCTCTGGATATGTGTCTCCATTTGCAGTACCTGCTGCAATCTCTCCAGAATTACCATCGTCGTCTTCTGCACGGTTAAATAACAATCGCGCGGAGAGTTCTTCACCATGTCCATCAGTGCTTCATAAGCAGCCGATCGTAAGTTAGCTTGAGCTCCATCCGGACGATCCGTCGTTTCCAACAATCTCTGAATGATAAAATCAAAGTACTGAGACATGCAACACGTTTCCGGATTCTGTCCCTCGAGACCTTCTGCAGCCTCGTAGCTAGCTTCTGCAAGACCCGTGAACGCCCAACAAACGTTCGCTGCAACGCGAGGTTCTGCCTTCAAACCGTTTATCAAAGCCTCTAACAATGGTTTCAGGTATGTCTCACTAATCGCTGCTTGTGGTATGATCTCACAAATTCGACCAAACGTCCATGCAGCTGTGTCCCTTACCGCGACACTGCTGTCGTACATTAGTTCGATAAGCGTTGGCATTGCTTGCTCTACCAAAGGTTTCAAGGTAGCATGATCAACACCCCCAAGAATAGAACCAAAGGCCATTAATGCTGCATCCCGATACCTCCAGTCGTGACTTTTAATGTTATCCTTGACAAAAGGAAGAACAAACGGAACAATGGCATCCTCGCAACAAGAGGATAATAACATTAAACACACTCCAGCAGCTTTTGAGGGATTCCAATCGTCTTCGTCATCAAATTCTTCTTGTTTAGTGAGCTTCTTCATCAAAACAGGTACCAGATACTGCAAAGCGCCCTTTGCATAATGTCTCGATACTTTGACTGGCGGTCTACCACCATCGGTAGCTTCGCCCTCTTCCATGGCTAAATCTACCTCCTCGTCAGATACGTTTGACCAAAACTCAATTCCTTGCAGTGCAACTTCATCGATATCTGACTTCATAGCTTCTAAAGTAATTGGGAAAAGTGCTGGAGCCATGTAGGGCTCCATATATTGATAATACAGTGACATAATTTTTACAAGACACTGTAAAGCAGCTACTTTAACTTGGGTGTTTAAGGACTGCGTTGCCTCACATACCACCTCCATAATGAAGTTTCTCTCAGTCTGCGTACATAAGCAAAACAGTTAAACTAGATGTTGTTATTAAAAAAAACCTATATTCTATTCTTGAAATTATACAAACCTCTATCTCAAAATTTCCTTTGGTAAATTCTAATGAATTATAGAGTGCACTCGTAGCTGCAAGGCGAACGTAATGCGAGGTACTCGATCCTTTCATACCATGAATGATAGCAGTGAGAATCTCATTAGACTGGGGTACCAAAACATCGCTTTCTATATCTTGACAAATATAACCGATGGCTTCTAAAGTTGCTTCCTTTAATATCTCTGTACTGTTTGGATTTACAACATTATTGACTAACAGATGAATGACATTGGTCCATTCACGAACAGGTAATTCAGCAACTGCTACATATGCAACACATTGTGCTGCAGAACCTGGCCTGTTGTTCTCCGTTCCAAGTGCCCCAAAAATCTATTGATAAAGAATACCATCATATTGCTTTTACATAGAAATGTATCATCAAATAACTGAAAAAGTTACTTACATTCTTCTTAATATATTCCCTTGTTTCTACAGGAATAGCAAGCCAACGTTGTTGATATTGACATTTTAAATCTGGATCTTTAGATGTAAGTTGATTTTTGAGCTGAAGACCTGCTGCCATACGAGCCACTGGGCTTGCAGTGGCATTAACCAGCACGCCGCTGAGTCTTTGCAAAAATTCATGCTAAAAGAAGAACAATGAGTTTTTTATAACTTTTCCAACTCTTGCATATTCCTCACAAAGGTTTCTTTCAAAGGAAAAAAACTTACAAGATTAGTTCTTGCTGCCTGCTCAAGAAAGTTTTGAGCTGCTTCCAACTCATTTTTGTCTGAAATTGTACATAAATTACTTTTATAATACAAACATAAAATTATTATAACATAAACATAAATTATGTTTATATTATAAATGTATTATAAATATGAAAATAATTAATATCGAGTTTTCTATTTATGAAGGTTCCAGGAACAAAAGGGATAATGTCCATTTTTATCAAATTTTGAGTTCAATATTTTTCAACATACTTCCGTGGATGCTCTATCATGGGCCATGTCTCATTGGGAATTAAAATTTTCCAAGTTTTGCAGTAGTTACAAGAATTTAAGATGTACAATGAAAAATGAATAGTTTACATTTTTTTAGAGTTTAGTGTGTTATATATTATTTAAAAGTATAAGTGAACGTTGAGAATAGTGCAGAATAAAATAACGTTTTATTTTAATATATGAGAAAATACAAGAATGTGACATCATATATTGAAAAATAAATTTTTGTTTTCTAAGAAATATTAAAACTTCATATTCACCCCTTTTTCACGTGGATCATTCATATCATTTCGTTTATGTCAAGCTGGTAAAAAATGTGAAGTAACGATAGAGGTTAGAAAAGTAAGATGCACTCCTCGCAGTGCCAACCGACAACGGGGACGTGCAATACGAGTAACCGTCACATGGGACAATACTTTTTCGGTCGCGAACAAAGCCCCTAGCAACAGCCAAACGGAATACAATGCGACGTATTTTCGTATAAACGACAGATCCCGATTAAATGTTAACATATCGACGCCAAACTATTCCAAATGAATCAAAGGAACCATCAATTAACGTTGGTACTAAGTACTCCATGAATACACCGGAAGGAGTATAAAAAGGACGCGCACGCGGTAGGACTTTACTTTTCCGGGCAAGCTTGCTAAAACGATAAGAAGGAGACAAAAACGAAGTATTTACGTCGTTCATAAAGTAACAACGATAGCAACATTAAGAGCAACAAAATAACTGAGAAAAATTAATCTTAATTCTAAGATGTCGCCAATAATCTGAAGTACTGATTAATCAAAATGACTTACTCGAGGAGACGGTTCTCTCTAGAACCTGGATAAGCTGTACTGTCGTTGGATCCATTTGCATGATTTCAGCTTCTTTCGTCTATCGATTATCAGAAAACGTAATTTTTTATGCCTCGATAGGAAATGTCTCGTCGCTACCGGCAGACAGCCACATGTAGCCACCACCGAATCAACTAGCTCAACGACGTACCCCCTTCTACCCACTTCCTGCCAGTACTCGATTTCTGCTTCCTTCCACAACGTGCGGCGTAGTAATATCTGCGGCCTTTGATATTCTCGCGCCTAGTACACGCAAACGAACCTTCCGATCATTAACTCGACACAATAATATACCGAATGTATACCTTGTACTTCCGTCAAACCCTTGCCGTGAATTTCGTAAACGTTGCAAAGCTACTGTCACGAGCGTCACGTTTCTTCAACTGATCGTCGTGTCTCTTCATGCACGGACTATTTTCTTTGTGCGCCGTACAAAATTTCCTTCGCGCACGCGCACATAGAGACGCAGGCGCCATCTACTCCATCTGCTATCGCTGTAGCGCACGCGCGCTCGACGCAGCCGTTATGCCGGTTAATTTTGAAATCATGCACTTAAAGTTGTAGATTGTTTTCTTTCTGCTACTAATTTCTTTTCCTGTATTAATACTGTTACGTCCGGTGACTCACTACGGTCAAGGCGTTTGGTGGTCAGATGTCCACATATAATTAAGCGGGTTGCAATAATTCTAAGGAACGATCATAAATCAAGGCTTCTGGATTTTTCGTTAAAACCCCTAAGTGCCATAAAACATCGTTGAATCAGAAGGTTCCTTATGATTAATGCTTTATCAGGTAAACATTGGGGAAACCGTGAATCAGTCAACATATCTGTACTTGATCTACAACTACAGGTCAGTCGACATCTCTAGATTCGACCTATGACTACAGATTAGTCATCATCTCTGCACTGGGTTCACTACTTTAACTTAGTAACATTTCTTTACCGGGTTTGTAGCCGTCAATCATTCGCATACTTAACTTATACCTTACGCATCAGCATAGCTATCTTCTTTAGAAAATTGTTGGAAATATATACTATCTTTGAACTGTTAATCAAGCATTATACTCATTAAACTATCTCTATTATCCTAATCGAAATAGAGGATCGATCTGTTCGTGACGTCGATTATTCTAATCGTAACGGGAATTTACGACTTCCGTTGACGCGCTTCCTCGCGATCGCGTCTCCCAGCGACTGGTCGATAAAACAATCTGTTTCATTTTTTGTGAAACTAATAAAGAGTTACATTGCTGTCATAGACACGTCAGGATACTGACACGAAAGAAGAAAGGGCGTCGGTTATTTTCATAGATTTAATGAAACGATATACAGAATACATTTGCTTTCGTAATGCATCGCAACGCATCGTCCGCGTGCCTTACCATCTATATCACATATCAATTTTTCTTTTATTTATAAAATATAATGGTCGCAATATATGTGTTTTTGTATTCTCACATCATGCCTTTAAATTGCTTTCTCATTTGCATATCGAAAGTATATATAATATATATATATATTTATTTATTTATTTATATTTATATTACTTCATTATATTTATATATTTATAAGTATATATATAATAATTATATATTATATCATTTTATATTATATTATATTATATATATATATATATAATAATTAACCAAGCGAGAGAGAGGGACTGTGTGTATGTGTGACTCGGCACAGAATTACAGCGAATCAGGTAAAACATCTTTAATTAGAATACTTTACAAATTTTTAGTAGAACGATGTTAACGTGTTGCTAAATATCGACGGTCGTAGGGGTGAAAAGGCCGGTGGTCGGGAAACTTCCCTTGCAATTCCTTTTATTGTCGTTGTGAACAAATTGCAAGGAGAACACAAATTGTACTTGATTAAATAATCGGCGAATTATCGATCGATTTCAATAATTCGCACCTCCTTTTCAATTGTACGGCCGTCAATACATATCGATTTTACATATCGACATTATCGATCGACATTATTTTATTCTTTACCTCCTTTTTCTTTTTCCTTCTTTTTTATTTCCTTCCCCTTCTGCTTGTTACCCCTTCTCGTTCTCTGATTTTTTTTTTTCTTACAAATCCTTCCAACATGCTCGATGACCGACAGAGATTTCGACCAACATATCACGCGGATACATTCGACGTGTGTAAATTTGTTTGTTTGCTTTCAGTGCAACGTCTACCACTTCCGATGTGTACTTTGTATTTGTGCATGTAGTGTATATGGGTGTATCCGCAGATATTCGTACGGCAGAGTACAGATCGATCGTTGTAGAAACGTCCGTACGAAAACGAGAGTTTGTCACGTTTTATTTCTTTTCATTTATTTTTTCTATTCTTCTTTTTCGTATGACTTCATAAAACTTGATCTGGGACAGAAAACGATACAACGCACGATAGCAAACATGGAAAAGTTCTATCTCATATTTTGGACGGAAAGGGAACGAATTTCGATTTCGAACTCCTTACAAACGCTGTGATTTCCACATGGAAGGTCGAACGTACCACATTACAACATTCAATTTTATTTCATCAAAGAAAAAGAACGACAAACTCAATAAAAAAAAATTAAATCATCCGTTGATTGAACATTTATTGTTACATCGAGGGAAGAGGATAAAGTACACCTAATGGAATTGGCCTTTGTTCATTTTACAGCGATGACAATTAATCGATAACAACAATACTTGAGATGATTTCGTTTTTCATTCGAGATATTTCTACGTTCGAACGATCCGAGATCCCTTGTTCTCCGCTTTAGTTTATTTCATTCTTATATCCCTTCTCGCTCCGTTTCTTTTCTTTTTTTTTTTTTTTTGTTTTATATAAGATTTTAAAACTTTTTCTTTATCTCTTTTTCTTGTAACCCTTTCCGCTAAATCGGGAAAGGTGCACGCGCAATTTACATGTCGTAGCATCGTAAAAAATAATACAACGCTAATCAGCATTGAGTCCAGGAAAGATTTGGCGGAATCGTAATCGGAGCACGTCAATCACGAGTTAAATTGTTTCTACTCCAATAGGGGATTAGAAACTGGTCGCGATGCTTCCTTTAATTTTCTTAAGTAATAGGAACAAAAATATTCTTCCCCTCTATTATATGAGCGAGGCAAGAAACTTAAGAATTCTCGAATTCATTAAGCGTTCGTTAATCACAATTAGCCTAATAGCACCGTTTAATTTGACGAATTCCATCAGCCTCTAAATCTCTTCTGGACTCGATGCGCTCTATACACACACGATGGAAACGTACGGATTTTGTTCTTGTGTCATATAATCCGAAAACGGGGATCAAATATTAATACGTGCTGCTAGAAAGGGAGCATTATGCTTAATTGAAAATTCAATATTACATAGTGGTCGGCCGAAGATATGACGAATTAGATAATAAACGAAACCGTTCGTTTCCACGGCGTTATCCTAATTTTCATTCGAAAAGAGAACTCAAAGTGACGTGTCCCCTTTTCGGATACTTGTACCTTGCTTTCTTGCCGGGCATATGTTGTTCTCGTTTCACCGAACACCTGCGATCGTATCCATCCGCAAACGTTTCCACACACGCGGCCAATGCCAATGAAGCTCGTTTGCACAGAGAAAAGCGTTGTTGATGTTGACACTCACAACTTAATCGCGAGTGCAGGCTTGAAAATTGAATTACGTCTGCTCGAGTACCGTTTAATGAAGCTCGACGTTAATTACTCCTTTCTCCGTGTACTCTTCCGTAACGAGAGACCGCTAAACGGAAGCTCTTATATGGCTAGCAATCGATAACTCTTACACAAGAAATAGTACCGAATAAACAACGAATCGAGAAATAATATATAAAATACGAAAGAAAGAGTGGGAGAAGATGAAACTCGGCTTTTATGAAAAAACTACGATTGCGTAGAAATCAAAGAAAATGAATCGAGACGATTCAGCTAGTGGTCGAACTCGAATCCTCTCTGTTTCCTTATAAAGCGTGGAACATTTGCGGATACACACAGCGAGTAGAGAGTAACGTATACACACGTAATTATTTTATACCTATTGTGCACATATATGTATCGTTAACGTGTTTTCCTGCCTCTCTTTAAGTTAGAAGAACCACATGGCGATCGCCACGCGGACCGTGTCTTTCTGAAATTAGGTGTACTAAGATTAATGTTGCGATTTAAACGCTGTATCGGTTGGATCGGTTTACTGGGTTGTACTTTTACGTTGACAAGTAACATACACACAAAAGAGGAAAGTATTGTTGCCGAACAATTAGGATGGCCATTTTCAACGGGCCATGCTGGAAATATTACGCCAACTTAACCATCAACGATTCCTTGATATAGCGATTTTAATCTTCCATGAAATTCATCATGGGTCCCCTCCAGTTTCTTTGGATCGTGCGTCAATGCAATCCAGTCTAGGGTTGATTATTTCTTTTACATCCAAAGGAGACGTTTTTGCTATCCTGGTGATATATTGCAGCGGCGAAGAGTGCTTAACGTCGACGATGTTTCTTACGCATTTAGCAAGTTATGGTAACACAAGGTGGTGGTAAGAAGGTAGCGGATGGTAACAGCGGTAGCAGCGACAATAACGCCATAAAATCGTAACATTAGCGGTAAGTAGTAGTTAAGTAATAGTAATTAATAAGTAGCAAGTAATAGTATAAGTAGTAGTAGCGGCGCGGTATACGTATAAATAGGACTGTCTACGTTAGTTTGATTAAAAATAAATGTCATAACGTAATAGGTAACTTTATGCCGGACCCGTAACGAAGCCACTGTTCATTGCTGATCGGTCGCGATCGAAATAACGCTACGCACTTATATTCAGTTCCTCTCATGCTCGTCCAGATGGATCGTGCAGCCGATCGGCTACGTTCGGGTCCTACTTCATTCTTCTTCTCCCTTAGCTGTCTAAAATCACATTAACGCAAGAATAGTGGTAATTATTTTGAGCCGAGCGGATCTCGACCACGTGACTTGGAAGACACTCACACGTTTTCAATGATACTAAATTCCATGCGATCGAGGGTCAGGAGGGGATAACAGAGCACCGATTAGCCTCGGATCGATGAAGCTAGTAAGCCAAAGGACACGAGTTTCGCATGAATACGAGCACAGGGAATCAGGAAACAAGGAAACAAGGATTTTCTACCAATAATTCATTTTAGCATCATCGCGACGTTCGAGTGTGATCACAGTCACGATCTACGTACACCTAAACTATCAACACGGAAGAGCGAAATTGATTTAGAAGTGGGACAAAAGGTAGATGGAGGAATATTAATTACTAACATAATCTGTGATAATCTACTTGTCTCCGCTCTTCCGTCGTTGCTCTGATATGTTGCGAATCGTCAATGCGTTCTCTCTTCTTTCTCCTCGACGAGTAATAAGTACATTTTTGTTCACCAAAAGAAGAGATATTCGTCCCGATTGGGCGGATCGTCGGGGGCAATCGATGCAGCATGAGCAATGAAAGAAACGTAGCGACTTTGTTCGTTGACGTAGCGACTTATACATGTATAAAGTAGGTAGAAAAGTGATAAAAATTCATGTGTATGTGTACGTATAAGATGTGTGTAACGAGTACTGTATACCTTTTCTTTCTTCTTTTTTTTTTTCGTTTCATTTGTGCATGTTTGCGAGAAATAGCGTAGCATTTAGAATTATCAATTGATAAAACACTCCGTGATTAATCTTCCGCATGCCACTGCTCTTTTCGTCAGCTATAAACGCATAGTAAAACGTTAGATCCTCTTACGAAAGGGGAAATCTACCGTTTGTTTCACTGTCATTTCTCCGTGGGCCCCGATAATCCGCCAAGAAACCGAGTTCACCTTTGTTACATGGTTCTCGATACTTTCGATAGCAAGAATAGTTGTTACATCGTACAGTGTTAAAATAGTAATAGCAGTAATAATAGTAGTAACAATAGTAACAGTTGTCAGGTCGAGCACTCGCGTCTGCTCGCTGACACATCACGAAGACATGCGCCCCGCTCATCCACCCGTCTCTCATCCATACACGCACAGGGAACTTTGTCTTAAATTTAGCGACAAACCACGTCTTCCGGCTCGTCCATTCGCGCGTACATTCACTCCAATGTACACTTGCACGATACTCGATCGCATGCACGCATCTATTCGCTAAAACATCTAAACGACGAGTCAGCCTCGAGACAAACAGTCTCGACAGAATTCATCGAGCTGACTGCCGTGGTATACGACGATTCATGCGTCGACACTCGTGTGAAAACCATGTGAGGGTACACGCAAGAAGATAGTAGAACCTACGTATACGTATAAGAACTAAGGAAACTTAATCGAGTAGGTACGCAACCGCACAAGATCTCAAGAGTAAATTGTTCTACGCGAAGATAAAGCCTTAGGCTTGGCTCGAGAAGGCGATTAGAACGGTAGACTACCGACGAACATCGTCTCGATCATTGGTGGCGCCGGGACCAGATCCTCCAGTTTCAGGTAAAAGATACGCTGGAGCCCTTGCACTGACAGACTCCTCAGTTCCGGTAGTTTACCTAACAAACGGGACAGATAGTGCGCTTTCCTCTGCGCTTCGGCGTTATAGGTGACATGATCGCGAAGGGACGAGATTATTTTCGACTGTAGTTGTTCCATGCGATGAGGTTCCTTCAGGCCGTACCTTGCTGTAATTTTAAGCAGAGAAACATACGCGTTTTTTATCAATCGATCCAATTTCAATCACTCGATGGACATAGGGATGAACCGGTTTGTAACGAAAATGACTAGATTTCCAGATTCGCTAGACAATTTAAACGGGAAGGGGAGCCGATGTTGCGTGCAATCGTAATTCTACGACGTCGCTGAATTGGCCGAAAAGGAGCACGCACATGCAACTCGCGAGGAAAATCGCGTCGACGTATCGCGTGCAATAGACACGAACGATGGCGGTTTCTTTTCGTCGTCGCATCAATAAATAACAGGTTGATCGATAAATAATTTATCTACCAGACGATCGCGCCTAATGGAGAGTCGTCAAATAGACGAGAGAGGAATCGAGGGTAAATCGGAATAGAAAAGTAACGTTCATACTTATGATATTCTTTCGAATAAGAAAAAAACAAGAACTTCGATGAAACTTACCAGTAACGAGGGTGAGAGCACACAGACAAGCGAAAGCACTAGTGTCTACGTCGAGAATATGAAGAGCTTTGCTGAACTCGAGGATACTGTGGAGCCAATCGCCAAAGCTACGTTGACATTGTTCCAATGCCAGAACCACACCGTTGCAAAATGTCAGCTTGGTGTCTTCTGGTTTTGTACGGTACGCCAACCGAAGAACAAAGAGTTCCAGACTGGCTGACTGGAAAAGTAGCTCCTACGAACAGTAGCAACAACGAAAACTCGTGTTAGAAAACCAAATTATGGTTATGATACGTACAGTCGATGACAGTGATGTAACGAGATCGTAAATTAAAAAGTTAAACGGCGATACCGATTGATCTAGCCGTATTCAGGACCGTACGTCACGGGTAACCAAGATTGGCAGAGAATTCTTCATCGTTGACTTATCTACTTGAAAGAAAGGACTAATTCTGAGTAGACATCGTACGGCCCTGAACAAGGCTCGAACTCCTTATTAATCCTAAAATTTCTCCACTTACATGTTTCGGTCTTTAAACATGTAAACTTTAACGCCTGATCGATTTTACGACCTCGTTATATCGTTTCCACCGATATGTATAAAAGGTATACGTGAATCGTGGAAGACGAGTTAGAAATTGTTAAAAAAGCAACTTTGTTACGAGAGAATGTTATTTTCATCGGTGGCTCGAGGCTAGCAACTAGATAACCGACCAATCAGACCGTCGATTAGACATGTCGTAGGCTCGTCAGGATTGACCTTTTAGAAAATGTACAAGCTATCGATTTCTTTAATGAAAGCTTCCCTTACAGATATTGCTCGTCGATACGTAATAAACAATATATCGCGACTCGCATATGGTTGCACGAGCATATCATCCAAGGCTGACGAAAAGATTAATGAGAATTATTAATGAGAATATTTACATTACCTGATCTTCCCGTACTAAATCCGTGAAACCAGGAATCTTATCGGCAAAAGTTCGAATCACGTCGATGGACGTAGTGAGAAGATTGTAAAATTGCTGAGTCTTTTCGGCCTCTGTGATAGGCGGATCGCCAGGACTCGATTGTCGATACTGCGAATAGTCTAATGTCGCTTGATCGGGTGTCGTGTCCAAATGTGCACGAACCAGAGCTGTAATCAAGGAAACTGGAGAACTCGGTGGCGACTCTTGTGGGGATTTTGGCTTCGATGGTAGTCTACCTCGACGACCCCTCAAGGAATCCGTCCTTACAACCTATTAAACGAATAACTTTTGTTATATCCTTCCGAATTCTCAATATTCTTCCGAAGAATAATGTTTTCAACGTGTGCCAATATTTTTTACTTTGTTATCTTGTTTTAATAATTTTATAATCGGTATTTGTATATTTTTCATGGCAAGTAATTTGTTCTTAAGAATTGGTAAATGAATTCGAACTTACCTCTTTCACCATACCGACCATCAAGCACTTCTGGAAGCGACAAAATTGGCAACGATTCCGTCGGCGTTTGTCAACGGGGCAAGCTTTCTCTGCTAGACACACGTATTTTGAGCCTTTCTGCACGGTTCTCTTGAAGAACCCTTTGCAGCCCTCACAGGTACGCACACCATAGTGTTGACACGCTGCCGTGTCGCCACAAACAGCGCACAATTGACTGGGACTCGGCGGTGCTCGTTCGTTGCTGGTTGTGCTTCCAGGTGACGGAGAACTCACAGAATTTCCAGTGCCTCCGCTTCCACCGCGTGCTTTCGGGGATTCTGTACTGCCACTACTGTCAATGAAAGACACGTTTCTTTAAAATCTCAGAACTTCAAAATATTACATAAAATTCCTTTCTTTTCGAACGAACAAAGTCGGGAAGGAAGTTCATCTCGGATGGACGCGTTAGTCTTCCCGGATAAATACCATATTTTAATGTTAAAAAAGAAAACGAAATTGTATAGTCGTTTATTCGATAATTGATTCATTACAAATGGTTCAAGAGCTTATATAAAATTGTTCAAAAAAGAAAGAATATCCAACAACTACACTGCTCCAAATAATTAAAAAACTCTTTTTTATGTTATATCCATTCCCAGCATTATTATGTTAATGTTTACATTTACGGCAGTATCATACGAACAACATGTCAATTTGTACGAAGCCTATAAAACTTCTTCACTTGATTAACAATAGATCCGTTCATAATAGAGATTCTCTAATTGTTTTCAACAGTACACATTAACATTGAAATCAATATTCCCCGTATAATGAAAGTCGACTACGATTCATTACCTCGCAGACTCTGACCTCTGCGTGGGTAGAGACGCCCTCCGTGGACGAGGCGTTCCTACGACGACGTTGTCGACGGTAGGGTAATTGTCCGTTGGTGCAACCGGTGTGGCACCGCCAGTTATGGTCGGTGATGGACCATATACCATAGGTACAGTGACCGCTGCACCATATGGCGAGTCCTGTCGATGATTCGATGGGGGAGGAACAGCCGTGGTCGGTGTCGGAGCCGTTTCTGTCGCGAAATAACCTTGATGATTATGATGATGTTGTTGTTGCGGAGGAAGTGTTGACTGTTGTTGTTGATGGTGATGATGAAGATGTTGTTGCCTGTGGTCGTGGTAGGGCAATGTGGGTGAAAATTCGGTGGGATAATGTCCGGTGGCGCATGGATACACCGAGTTATCGTAACATTCTGCCTCGTCCATCTTGATGCCGAGAACCTGCAGTTCCTGTCTGGTGTACCGTTGAGCCGTGTAGGTTTCTTGGAAACTTGGCAGGGGTGTAGAACTGCTGCTCAGACAGATCAGAATTAAATGTCAGTGGACCGGTCGACTCGTCCGAACGAAATGCCAGCTACGATCTTTCTTCATGCTACCGATGATGATCGTTAAATCACACAATGAAACGTGCAATCGCGTAGAACAAGCTGATTCGCAGAATCGTAAAAGTAATGACAGAATGCCAACTATGATTTATCTTTTACCTATCGGCCAAATCTAAGATTCTATCTGTGAAAGGTGAAATGCAGATTGAAAGCAACGAGCGGTACCTAAGGGAGTCTGGTTGCACGTCCTCGGGAAGAGGAGCTGCTGATGGAGGCGGTTGTGGTGGTTGTTGATGATGTACCGTTTGTTGTGCCTGGGCTGACTCGTCAGCCGTGGGTACACCTTGCGGATTACCCAGCTGTAGTTCTGGAAATGGGTCCAGCTCCTCCGGTAGACTTCCCGCATCCGCTGGATCCGTGTACGAGGCACTCAATAAATCCGCCAGAGTGCTACATCCGAAAGGACTCTAGAAAAATCGCATTGAACCTCGGTTGGATCATTTTCAATCGCGAACTGAGATTTCATTCAATTTTTGTAAAATCGACAACTATTCAACTATTTAAAGTTTTCGAAGCTGCACCAAACTCGAACAAAATCTTTTTTACGTTTGGAAAAAAGATTTGATAATTTTTTTTATATTGTTTCAGTGGATAAAGAACATCAAACAACGGTTAATTGGACCACGAAATATCTGTCGATCTTTGATAATTCAATTCCGTGGTACTGGTACACTTTTTCTATTGTTTCTACAATGTCGGACAACGTCGGGAGAGCCGTGCGAGCGGCAAATCGAAGTACTCGACTGCAAGGCGGTAACATTGTTCGACCACAATTGCGAGCCGTGTCGAGACATCGATGTACAGTTGAGGTGCGCAGTGAGGATGTCGGAGAAGAGCGAAGTGGGCTCTTGTATCGCGTGTTGTCTGTAACTCAAACAGTCACGCGGAGATTCCTACGTTTAATCGAATCGAACGAATCTCTTCTTTCTAATCCAAACTCGCTATACTCGTATAAAATCCGTACTTGGTCCACGTGACTCTAATAATCGTCCAATACTATCTTACCCGTTACGAACACCGATGTCTCGATTTATAATCTCTTTCCCTATATTATTATAAACGATCTTTAATACGAATATTACTATAAATATCGGCTGACATTTTACTTAAAGATATTAAGGTCGACTGTCGCGTCGATATTGCATAAATAAAAATATCAGCGTGAGACATATAATAATTAAAGCAACATTTATTTCTCCGAGAAGGGAAATGAAAATCGAGTGGAAGACAACATGGACGCAACAAGGACACGGACGAACGTCTGGCCAGGTAACTATTGGAGGATATCAGCACGATGGAGGTAGGATGGGGTGTGGATATTCAATTTGCCGGGTTGGTTCCGCTTCTGAGCTGACATTTCGTTCATCGCTCCCTCGAGAACCGACGATCGAATTGTCAGCCTACCATAACCCTGACTACGGCCTCCTAAACGGCCTCTCGAAGCCGTTCAACCCCCCATTCTTCCTTACGAAACTTCCTACGAGCAATTACGACACCATGAAAGCGTGGCTGCGTGTAACTTCTCTACGTAGGATTACTAATTTCGTGGTACAGCTAGACCAAGCGTTGTCAGCCGTTTAATTACGCGTGACGATCCCGCGGACAGACGTTTTCAACGAAAAGACTTTCCAAGACGGAAAATGAACATAAGAGAAGGGATAGAAACAGGTAGGACGACACTGGAGATCCGGGTACGTGGGCAGGAATGCAGATGGTGCGCGATAAGCGAATGCAGATGACGATCAAGAACGCCGGAACGTAGGAGGGCAGATCTTGTTGCGGGTCGAGCTAGACTCGCGGAGTTCGAAGACCACGGAACAGATAAGATAGTGAAATAGTGAAAGTCCCGCGAGCCCGAGCGACCCACTAAATACGGGATTCGATAATTACCAGCTGGTTCCGCCAGACGACGTTCACGTAAATTCCGACCGCGTTAAGAAACATGTTTTCACTTATAGTTACAGAGGGCTGTTATTAACAATTTTTTTGTCTATTAAGAACGACAAAGTCTAATTCTAAATCCGGATACACGAAATAGTACTAAAGAAAATTGAAGGCAAGGTGTCACTGACCGCGGGAAAACTTCCGAAAAAGCAAATGCTGCGAAAAACGTGAAATAGGGTAGTATCCTAAAGAGCTACGCGAGATTTGGAAATATAAGAAAAAAAGATGGATCATCGATCGTAATACGACGTTGAGAGTAATGTCGCGCAAAAAAGGGTGCGCGAAGCGCATCAGAGTGAATTCTTGCTGACCTGATTATAATTAATAATAAAGAATAAAGGGGAAAGGGTTTGAAGAGCGAACCTGGACATTACATTACCTGCGTCTGTAGGAGAAGCATGCTTGATGCTACCGTGAACGCGGTGGTTGTCGTGGTTGTAGAAGACTGATTCGTGCAGGCGAGAACTGGAACAGTAGTTGTTGCCTGCCGTTGATGCCGCTGGCGATGTGGCTGTTGCTGTTGCTCTACGTCGTTCCGTGTAATAGCCACCGCACGCTGACTACCGTTGCTGTTATCGCTGTCGCCGTTCGGCGAATGCAATTGCCCTGCAACAGAACGCAACACATCCTGAAGCTACTGCTAGCAGCGAGATCGCTTTAAATTCCTTCGACTTAATGCGCCGATCTTAAACATTATGCATCTTATAAAACCAATTACAGAGGCGGCTAAGCAATCTACGACAGTTCGACTAACGCATCTCTCTACATTTTTTCCTTTCTGTAATAAAACGTCGCTCGCATATAACGTCTATCGAGGACATTGTTCCAGAATATGATGAAAAGTTCTTTGGTCCAAAGCCAACGCGTTTATTGTTTCATGATGAAACAAAGAGGGATGAGAAACTAAACTTTCTGACACGTATTCCCCGCGATGACGCGTTGAATGTACGCGCCAGACTATTTCTATCCTACAAAGGTACCATGATCTTTTCTTTCTTTTGTGTCCAGACGTGACGCGAATCGAGAATTTAGTTAACAACTGCGTACGTACAATATCTGCGATATTGAGAGTGACCGGTGTCCATGGTGATCATCTCTGCGACCAATTTAGAATCGAGAGGCCTCGAACTCGGACGAATTTGGTTCCGTGAGAGACGAACGCGTTTGCACAGATCGATTCTTAGAAGTACGAGTAAATTTCGACCACCAGGCCAAGGATGGCCTGGCAGCCAGTGGAATTCGGAAACGACTTTCACTGGTTCCCGTTTTTCTTGTTTGACGCTACTCGTTTTAACCGGTTGTTATCACTATCTGGTACCGACTTATTAGTCGTCGAATTCTCGTCGTCGACTGAGGTCCTCGACGCCGAGGTTTCGTCCTATATAGGGTAGTTCCGACACCCCAGGGAGACATGAAATCATTGGCATTTAAAATACTACCGTCCTATGCAGACAGCCACCATACCCCCTGCTCGATTATTATTACGCGATATTATCCCTAACGCCCGAGGGATGACTATACCTCGTCCCGTCAACGAAGAGATCGCTCGCCTTTTATCTTTAGAATCTATGCATGAAACGAACCTTAAAAGAACGTAGGAATATAGGAAAAATTGTCAATACCTGCCATCACATTCCCATCATTTTCATTATCACCATAGTTATTACAATCTTTATTTTTTTTACTAAATATCGCCTCACTCGATTCTTAGAATAATATTACCACACTTCGTTCGCTACAATTCTCTCACAAAGGCTAGAAATTGATACGTTTCGATTAATTGATACGTTACGTAAAGAGGAACGAATAGAAAGTGACATTAACAAGTGATGGGTTAAACAGATGCGTTCTGCTCTTTTGAGTTCTCCATCCTTTCGACTCGTTGAAGGATCAGGGAAGATGCGAACGAGAGATAGTCACGGTCACCTAGACCGGCGATTTGATTGAATTTCGCAATGGGGATCGTGAGAGGACCACCCAGTGGTTTTTCACGTCGTGAAACATGGCATAGCCGAGTCGTAAACGATTCCACCGTGGCGGAGATTAATCGTAGAGGGGTGTAGAGGGTGCGACGTGATTCGATACGATAGCGACACCGGTTATGGCGAATTAAAAGGGACTGCACACAAGCCTTGCTTGATAAGTATCGATGCAAACGCGGCTGGCATCGGATCTATACGGCCATAAATCTCAACGCAGTCAGATCGATCGGGCTAGAAGTCTGTCATTACCTAACGAAAAGTCATAAATGTTGCCTGTATAGCCCACTCTCTTTCTCTCACCCGTACCTTTAACCTTTTCCTTTCCTCTCTCGTTGTAACCCGTGCAAGGTGGTTGCTCCGCCAATTAAGATAGCTCGATCCAAAACAATGAGCCCTATCAGACAGCGAGGATCAGCGAGACCGCGAAGGAGAGGCGCGAGTGGAACCGATCCCACCTACGGGAGCGCATACTAGAGAAAACAGGCTGCACCTGAGCCGGTGTGCACGTGCACGGAAGGACTCGATTAACTTCTACAACGCTAGCACCGACAGCACCGTAGGCAGGGTAAAGGCAGAGGTAGCCAGAGTAGGGTAGCGAACGGACGAGCAAGAGTAGGGTTAGCCGAACAGCGTGTGCCAAGTGGATTACACCGGTATACACGGCCCTCCCACGAACCACGCCTCTCCACGTGCCACCACGTGCAGCCACGCCGCGCACAGCCACTTGCTTCGTTTCTCAACAATTTGCTCTCATGAATTAACCACTCGTTCCTTCCAGTCTCCTGTATCTGCTCTTCCTTTCGCTTCCTTCTTCTCCACTCTCGATCGTCTCGCGAATACCGTATCCAATGAAGATTGGAAGGATCGGATGGATGTGGCACGAAGAGCTTTGAATAATTTTCTATGTGAATACATAAGATTGCTTTGACAAATAAGATAACATTACGCAGGACTATTAAACGCTGTTTGTGTGTCGCTAGATATGGATGAAGAGAAAAATACGCACTGTCGTAGATCATCGTGTTAATAGACAGATTCCGCGGTTGTGTAATTGAACTGAGGAATTCTGGACATTCAGAAATTGCGAAAGACTTCTGTGTATAGTTTGTAAGAGTCGTTGAGTGATACATATCTCGGGAAGACAGGCGTGAAAATTTTGCACGATTTTTCATATCGAAACGACCCACTTTCCGCTTGAGAGAAGAGTCATCACTGACGTCACTGTTACTTGGTAGCATCGGACGAGTGTACAGCCACAATTAGGCATGAAATTCCTATAAGTTACGGGCTAATTGCAACGATTGTCCAGTCACGTGTTTTCATTTCATGGCTTACCAAGATAATTGATATCCTTCATGAATAATTCATTCTGGCAGCGAGTTTCTTTCTAACGTGTCGTTTATGAGAAAACCCGTAGCTACGAGGAGAAATAGAGAGAGAGAGATGGAGATAAAGAGAAAGAAGGACGCTATTAATAAACGCATCGGAGGACTTTTCTTCGTTACAACGTTACCTTCGAACCTCGAGAATTATATTGCCGATCAATCGACGCGTCTCGTATGCAGGCACACCTAACGACGTTAGCAACCGGTGGTGGGTGAGCGTGCGTGCACGAGAGAAAGTAGGACCTGATCATGTCTTGCAGCCGTACGCGACATATAATCGCGTACCGAGATATCTTCGATTTAAAGCTCGCATCGGTTCGCCCACACGAGCCGAGCGTCTCTACAGTTGGACGATCGTAATTAACCCTTTCACTACTAAGTAGGGACGGTCGTGTGCCAGCCTTTCGTTTGCCTTTTTCCTTTTAGCAGCTATGCTCATCGCATTTTACTTCTCTGGAAGCTGGCATTACTTTTCCAATTTCTCTTATTTTCACGCCTGATTTTCGCATTCAGAGATTTTAGTGGAGAGATTGTTTTCAAAGTCGATACTGCGAAGTCTATACAATGATGGCAAAGTGCTATACGATATATTCGGATTTTATTAGATTTCTAGCACGTGACTCTTAGGATGTTTTAAGTTTTTAAAGAACTTCGTTGTTTATTGTGTGCATCTTTTTTAGAACGTTGACTTTCATTTGCTATGTTGCTTCGGTTACTTGTATTTTTCTTAATATCTTGTATTGTTATTTTTTTTTATTAAAGATTCTTGCTTTTGCGTTCTAACGCTTTGTTTTCATTGCTGAGATTCTATCCTCAATTGTCCTTATATTTTTATCGCCGAATCTCCTTTTTTGCGTTCTTTCTTTTAAGTTGAAATTCCTGTTCTGACGTCCTTGCACTGTTCGTTACGGGGAATCCCAATTTCATCACATTGGAATTTACTTCAAGAAAGTATTGCAGAAGGGAAAGAAGCTGCCATTCCATTCGGAATATAGACTGTGGATGAACTAGTAACCATTGATTTACTATAAAGTTGATAATATCCAGGGTGAGTACTCGATCAGATGGCAATTGTATTAGTTCAGGCAATCTTCATATCTTGTTCGGACAGTTCTTGTATTTACACAAAAATTGAAAATATGGGAATGGCACTAAGAACATATTATTTACATACATACATATTTTCGCTCCATTAATCTACGATAGACACTGTACATCGCAGATTCAGATTCAGATAGAAATCACCAAACGTGTTCATAGCAATTAAGATAATTATAAGTGAAAATTGTGATTTTAGTATAAGTAACCATTGGGTGACCCTATGAAATAACTATATGATGGATATCATCCATATCTGGTAATTGGTTAAGAGGTTTGCTTGCTAAGTAGTATACAGTAGTATACAGTAGCTGCGGGCATTTTGGAAATTGCAGAAAAGGCTCAGAAATTGAATTTCTCATTCTCCGTGAAAAATTCATGATAGTCACTTTTTACAGGATTTAACGAACAGTAAACAAGCTGGTTACCAGCTCTTTAGTATTATCGCACTCGACTCGATTATTTTTTAATAAAGTACATATACATGTACACGTATCATATTGATTTCAAATCTTGACCCACTTACCTAATGTGCACTAATCATTGCAGATGCTGCATCATCCGATCTCCCTACCATTAGGAGGCGAACTTTAATAGCTATGTACCACTGATTATACTATTAATTTTTCTTAGTCAGTCGTATCCTGTAGGCATCGCGAAACTTATTTAACACTTTCACTATTAAATTGAAATAATTTTCTTTTTTCTTTTTCTTCCTCTCATAAGAGATGAAATTTTATTTTAATTTTTCCGTAATCCAAATCGAACGACTATTCGAATATTGAGAAATATTTATTTCCCTATGTCGTGTAATATATGTGCGAATTTCGAATATTTTTGAATAAAGAATATTTCCTTCTGTGTTAATTTAGCATGGTTTCGTGTCATATATCTTTTCACAGCGTGGAAAGTCGAATGAATCACGGGATCGTCGAATCGGACGTAAGATAATTTGAAAGTTTCCATGCTACGTGTACTCTAAAACTGGTCCAGCGTATGCACTCGGTGCAGCTTTCTCTTTCGCTGAATTTAGTGAAAGATTGATGACATCGCAATTAGGATTACAACAATCTCTCCGGGAATCCTGAGTCACCCTCGTGTCGCGATCACGTTCCATCCGAAGCCTGATACGTGCTTATCA